TTCGTTCCAGTGTTTCTTTAAAGAGAAAATTTCAGATGCTCTTATGAGGATTAAATTAAATTTCATCTTCTCTGGGCGTTTTACATAATTTAAAATTACTGTCCAGCTCGCGCGACGGAAGCGAACATAACGCCGACTTATTCGCGATTATATTTATGATTGCGTCGTGCCTGGCATTCTCGACTTGATAAAGAATGACTTATATTTCCTCTTAGTTAAAAGCCTGATTAAATTGAATGGAGAAAATCCGAATGGCAACTGTAACTTCTCGTGTCGTTGAAAACTATATTTTACATAGGGCGATGTTGTTTTTTTCTCAGTCTTTTTTAAAAATGATGAAGTTTTGTGAATTATGTCACATACGTACACACACACACACACACACTCTTTCTCTCTTGAAAAAAGATATACTCAAGTTTGGAAAAATGTTACATACAATGTGTATATAAACGATCGCTGTATTGTTTGCACTTTTATACATCTTTCGCTTACGGTAAAACATGTTTCCGCACATGCGATCATATACTATTTTATTCACATCTTTATATGCTTTCCACCGATATATTCGCCAGTACGCGCCGCTGCTGACATAGCCGTTTCACTGAATGAAACATCGCGTCAACAAGGCTTTCGGAATCGCTAACGTAGGATCGTAGCGCACACAATACATAATGTAATAGAGAATTTCATTAGAAGTGACAATGGCGCGAGAGAATAAAATTCGAAAAATGTGTAATTGCCCGCGCGCGTTAATAAATAATATTTATTAAAAATACTGACATCTATTAACAATGGCAAAGTGTTTTTGCAAAAAATAATATTTGTTCAAAAAATAATATTTTGTCAAAGAATTTTACGATTAAATTTTATGTTTGCAAGTTTTACAAAAGAATATTACTGTATTTGTATTATTGTGAGTTACAGTATAACGTCGAAATATTTCAGGAACGTGCTCGATAATTGGTCCGGCATTGATGTTTACAGCGTCCTATTATACGGCTTTGTCGTTGGCGTCATCGTTGCCTCGCAAATCCTTGCCGGCCAATTATCATTTTCACTCTCTCATCGAGCACGCGATTACGTCACTGCACAACCATAGTGTATTCATTAACACGTCATCGCAAAACGATCATTGTGAAATCTATTACACTATACACAACGAAATATCTCTGTGGCTATGTGTCCCGTAACATTTCGTGTTAAATAGTCAGACTCCCATAGAGAGTTAATTTGTTTCAGATAAAAACAATCCAAATTAAACGACGAAATAAACGCCGCGATTAGCATCAAACGATTGAACATCTATGTAATACCGAAATTGATGGTTTTATTTATTTTGCAAGTGTGCACATAATTGTATCATAATCTACATTACGTCGTAAGTGCCAAATATGTTTGTGTGTTCGATAACAGCTAGATAGTATGTATTTTTCCATTTCAAGTATAATAGCATTTATGATTAATAAGCTTGTTGAGCATGTCTTCATATTGCACGTGTGCAATTCTGTGCTACTTCTCTCGTAATAAGCTATGCGAGCTATTAAATCTAATAATAGACGTGATGATTATGTTTGTCGAATGATTTTACTGTCAGTTTTACTGTCGGAATTAATCGTAACGCGGATTTAAACCGTATACCGAAAGCTGGCGTAAGGCTGACTGGTACGAGAAATGGGTCCGGATTTATTTGACGGGAGCAGGTCGGGGTGCTTAACAAATGCACGAGTGGCAAAAAATGCATTAATGGTTAATTCCGTGGATGTATTCACGCCGTGTGGTCTGGCAAAAACACGCGACGGCGGAAAAAAATGCTGAATCAAAAATATATACGCCATACAGAAACGGTGAGAGTCGAAATTTCATCCGTCGGCAGAATTTTATTGTCCTGAGACTTCGATGCGTAAATTATCCTTCTTAGGGCGCGTTTAAAGTTGAAAAACGAGGACGGAAATTACGAGGACTTTCAGGTTAAATTTGTTATATTCAGTGGCTTTCTACATAAAAATCGTGCTCGTAATTTTAAACGAGTTACTTCCAGCTGTTTTTTATTACAAAAATCGAGTACAAACGTAAGCGTCCGTAATAAAGTAATATTATATTCGCCATAAAATGAGACACACATATGGAATAGAAGGATATAAATTTTTATGTCTTATGCACAGCCTGTTGTTACAAATAACTGTAAATTTTATTCAAATAGTATTTTAATTAAATGCAACCATGATATTCAAGTCGCCGCGATATGTAGTTTTTTAATCAGTGACCTACTTTTCTCTCGTTCATTGAATCGATCAACGGTTGGTACTTTATCACAAACCTACCAGAAATATAAAATCTCCTTTCCTCCTCGACCAACTCTCAGATTTAGTTCATATCCGATGGGAGTTTTCGATTCGCAGTCAGCGGGAGACACTTTTGCGTTTTTAGCTTTTTGCAGAACGGATTTGTAAAATTGATCTCGCTGTCGACTTCATGTTTTACGATTTTTACAGACGAGAAACGCGCGCGAAAGAAAGACGATTTATTTCGCGCCAACTTTTCCCTCCCATCCCCAGACATAAACGCTCCAGACGGAGTAGATGCACCTGCATCGATGCGTTTGCAGCGCATAAAAAGAAGAGAATAAGAGAGCGGAAGGATAAGGAGAAGGTTGAGAAGGACTCGGTTCGTCGACGTGTTTCCTCCAAGCCGCTTATCGAGGAACTCTTATGTTCTTCGCTCTTTCGCTTCGTATTCTGTTTTCCAACTCTTGCCCTTCATTTATTCTTCTTTTCTATACTGAATTCAACGGCCATCATCTGCACAAGTTCTACATTCCCGAAACGGAAACGGATAAAGTCACGTTGATGTTTAACCTTATCAATCGTGTTGTGCGAGCAAATTACGAGTTTAGATTTTCGCGGAGAGTAAAAGAAAATAAATTTTTTTTTTTTATCAATATATCACTTTGTTTCTCTTACCGTGATCTACTGTTGTTTTCTTATTTCATCTCATTTCACTGCTACACGCATTCGCGGAAAGTTCTCGGTATCTACTTTCTTTTATCGACGTTTTACATCTTCGGAAAGGGACTAGAAACTTTTTCTCCGAGTGAATAGTTTTGGAGCTAGATCTCATATTTTAAAATATAACGATTCAAGAATGTAGAAAATGAAAAATCTAATAATCAAGAAAGAAATGCTAGACTTCGAAAAATATCTTGCAATCTAAACTTTTCAGAATTAAAAAATTTTGGAATTTTTTTTAAATCTCAGAAAAGCGTTTACTGTTTCAGTACTTTTGAAAAATATGAGCTCTTACAGATTTTAAAACTTCAAGAATGTTAAAACCAAGAAAAATTTATTGTAGGTACTAATTAAGTTTTTAATAATTTCGCTAAACGTAAAGGTCTCTGAAAACAATCTTGATAATATTTCCTGACGTGTGTAAATATAATTATAATAATTTTATTATGTATTTACACACACACATAAGTCTATCTCTTTTTCTCTTTGTTACTAATGGAAAATGAGTAAAAACCACATACATAATAAACGTAACTAAATACAGTTATAATTTCTTGCATAATCAATAGAAGCGAGTAATAGTAGATGTTTACGAATTTTCAGAGGTAGGTGTTTATTATGACTGAACAAATTTACGAGTCAAATCACGAAATATATAGTAGCGAAAAGATTGAATTTTCAGCGCTGCGGTTATGCCGATATAAAATCCTTCCGGGTTGCGCGTATATAAAGTTACGTTGTTTATGGAGTATCCTAGCTGCACAACTTTCGATATAGAAAAATAACGCTCTTTCTTTCGTCACCGTCACACACACCCTATCTTCCTTGCTTTTTATTTGAAAACGGGAGAAACGGAAGTCGTGCGTTATCGTTGTCGTTCTTCCTAATGTTCGTGGAAACTGCTGAAAGATTCACGAACGTAAAAAAAAAATCTCAGAGACTTTGCCTAACTAAATCTCACGGTATATGCTTGCCTCCAACTTTAAAAAAAAACACGGATAATGCTTACACTATATCTTGTCGCAGCCGAGAAAATTGCATGTTTATTCGTTGTTTGCAAAGAGATATATTTATCGCGCGACCTTTATTCAATGAATAAATTAATAAATCAACACATTAATTTTATGACACAAATTTAGAAGAGATATTCTCTTTTTACAAGAAAATATGCCTGTGCTTTATAAAATTACCATATAATAAACTGCCAAATGTACGAAAATGCGGAACGATACTTTGGTGACGCTCGTATCTGCATGAATATGTAATTGTACATGTCATCATCAACCGTATATCGTGCCATCGACATTTTGTGCCGGAATCGAAATCGATTCTCACATTTTACGCAACTGTGCAGAAATTTCTGCACTTGCCATTCAGTAATTTATTATTTATTTCCATTATTTCATATTTTATACATATATAATGATTATGTCGAAAATAATATTAAATGTTACGAGCATATGTCCAATGTTATAAAATAATCGAAATAATATTCTGCCGGAGAATATGACCAGAATGTGACGTATATACGTGTCAAACAAAAATATATATCACGAAAATATTCAAATATGCATTAACAACTTACATAATAGGCAATAATAACAATTGTAGAGGTTTGCAAAATTTGCATTTGATAAAGTCACGTAAACACTCGGTTTTTTTCTTTTTTTATGTATTTATCATATATCAACATCGACAGTCAACAGCCGCATCTCGCTAATCCCCGAAAGACGAGGATCTTCGAGACAACGCGACATCGGGAAGGATAATCCCACGATAGAGCACTTAAGCGTTTAAAGTTTAACCCTTCGATCTTCTCACCATTCGCGACTTGCGTCGCGAACAATCTTTTCCGTGAGACAGCAGTCGGGATCGGCTATATCGGTAATGTCCGTCCCTGATCGAGAAGAAACTTCGAAGGGAATCAATGCAAGGCCCGCGATTTACGTAACTGGGCCGGGTATGTAGTATGTGAATAATTCATGCAGCACTCACCGACCACGTTGAGACTATAGTTGAGCGACATCTTCGGTTCGGTGCTGACCTGGCACTCGTACACGCCGGAGTCGCGCTCTTGTGGCGACTTGATCTGCAACGTCCAGTTCTCCGAGTTGTCCTGATGTATCACCTGGAACCTCAGATCCGACGTATACATAATGCGGCCTGCGCTCAGAATATGCATATCTCTCTTGCGCATCCAAGACACCTGTAACATAAATAGTACCTGTAAGTCATATTCCAAGTCCATCAAAGACAATCGCTTTTTTATTTATTTATAAGTGTCAATCTAAGATAAATGTTTTTGTTTTTAAAAAATTTCTAAATTGCCTGCTATATCAAAACACACTCTAAAGTGTTCTACAAATAATTCATCTGAACTATCTTATTTGTATGAAAATAATAACAATTGTCTTATCGAAATAATCGATAATGATCGCACGCTCTCTCTAATTTCTGTAAACCTTTAATCATAAGGAAATTCAGGAAAGCGTTATAAATGTTTATCGCCGGAAGTTGTTGAGCGCTAGCCCCAGCGCTGCTACAACACTGGCGCGGGGAGCCTGTGCAACGTCTTGGTCGTGTTAGAACAAAGACCACGGAAAGCACCCACGGCGCCGTAAATCCCCGCTCGGTCGACGTGCGTGTCGCGAACGATCTCTATAGTCTCTCATTGTTTTGCGCGCGAACATGTCTGCCGGCTATTTAATGCGCCGTCAGAGTTCCGGGGCGTAATTTCCTAGCGCGCGCGCGTTGAAAACGGCAGCCAAACGCAATTATCAAGTCTTTCCTCCCACAAACCTTTTTCGTGCGCTGCGGTTTCCACTTTTTCACCGTGGAAGTTGCATTGAACTCGTGCAAATTAGTTTCTCGTGCGTGGTTTAAGAATCGCGATTGTTTTATGAAAAAGTATTTCTAACTTTGATTGTTTTAAATAATGTAACATTGATTCATAGACGTTGCCATAAACATTTGGGTAAAAAAAAAAATAGCTTGAAAGTTCTTCAGCCTGTTGTAACGTCCAAAACATTTTCTCTTAAACGATTGCGCATACTTGTTAAGCGATTTGTGCTGCTTTGATGATCGCTTTGACGAAAATCAAAGAGCAAGCGGTCTGAATAATGCTCGATATATCCATTAAATGGTAGTGAAAGGTGGAAAGCTCGTTTTAGACGTAGGTGGCTTATCCACGCATATCGCACGGTGGCGTACGATGCACTCGCATGATTGAATGATACCTTTGCGAGTAAACGCGAGGGACTAATTCGCGCAACGTGCTGCTGAATCGGAGGTCAGCCACCAGCAATAGCGATCTAACCCCGCGGGGTAGTGCCGCATCAAGCGGATTGATTGTCTCTCATCTCGCGACGATCATCATCGGTCAACCATGAATTTCATTTTGCAAATTGAGTTTCCCGCCCAAGGTAGCCGCTGGAAGAGAGAATTCAACGTTCAATGCTAAAAGCATTAATGTACAACAGCCATCGTGCTGTAAAAACAATTGATTTTTGATGAACCACTGATAAAGATTGAGTATCCTGCTGTTTCCAGGTCGATAGTGCATCAACGTGTTCTAAGTAAGTGTCGAAAGTATGTTTAAACCTTATACATGTCAATTTATATATGACATTGATATACCTTTTTATTTACATAATGTTAAATAATGTTATCAACTTTGTCACTGAGAATTGTATATCAAAATAATATTCATGAAAATAACATGTATTTATGTACACGTTATGATAATAATGTCATAGTTGATTGTACAATATTTAAACTAAATATATATCATGTATAACATTAATATATATATTAATATATATATATATATATATCATGTATAACATTAATTAACGTTTATTATTTTTGTAAAATGCAGAGCAATTGTTGCAAGTTTTAATCTTTTAAAACCTATAAGAGAAAAAGTAATAAAAAAAATATAATAAAATAAATATAATAAACGTAATAAAAAAATATAATAATTCTAATTTGATTTTACTTCTGACGAAAGAAACGTAATCATAACAAATTCAATTATACATTCAATTATTGTTATATTTGTAGAACAATAATGGCATGTTGCAAATAGTAAGTTATGATTATATTTTAATATTATTTAAAAAGTTAAGATATATCCACGTAGGAGAGAAGATATATTATAGCATTAGAGAGATATTATAATTATGCAATAGACAGCAAAGAAATGTTACAATATATATATAATTTGGCATTATGGCATTACACAATTATTATTAACAGTATTGACATCCATTAGGTGTCGTATTAAATCGTTTGGTAGAACGATTACTGGTGATGCCTGTTAGTCATTAGCACGCACATACAAAGCGGGAGAGAACGTAATTCGCATCGCGTTCCGCATCAAAGGCAAAAGTGAATATTTCATGCGCTCGTATGAAAGCACGTACGAACGTATGAAAGTACTTTCTCGATTAGTAAATTTACTTTTGCACGAGAATATAACATACACTTTGTATTTCTATACGCATTTCAAAGTAAACAATAATTTCTATCTTTTTGTTTGCCAAACCTATTATCAAGTATAGACGTCAATTTGACCGAGATTTAAGCTACGCAATTTGATCATCACGTGACAACCATTACTTTTTTTACACACGATTCTGAAAGAGCCGCGGAAGATAATTGCGTCATATTTCAGTCGATTATGAGACATGTACGTACGAGCGTAAAGTGTGGGTGATGTCGTACATCGTTAGACACATAAAACCGGCAAATTCGCGTACAACGGCACACGGTTTACCGCGAGAATGGCGCCATCGCATCTGCATGCGCTTCATTATTTATGAGGTTGCTGAAACGGCCCGATCGACGCTCATTGGGAATTGACGGATATCGATTTCGCTTGTCGCGAGTCCTCGCGACGTTACATGCCGATCCGAATGATGGATGTTCGTTTCGACGGCAACGTGACGAAATGAAAAACGAGGTTCGAGGAGCCCGAAGACAAAGCTCACAAACTTTCAGCGGAGAAAGTCGCGGATCGACGTCCTTGGTTATTACAACAAGTTTAATACGTAATTTAGTGTTTACTGACGTGTCTTATTATGTCTGCACGTAAAAAGTGTATGTAATTTTAGCAACATGCGCAATCGATCTACTAAGAAACGCACGATTGATTAAAGCAGTTCGCTATTCAAGCTCTGAATATCTTGTACGACGCATTTCGGAAAGACGATAACGCTCTTTGTGCAGTTATCTGACTTTGCGCTCCGGAACGGCTTTCATCCTCCTCCGGTCGTCGAATCCGTAGCGAAGCAACTCCCATGGATTACTTAGACAGTTGTCGGAAGCGGGCGATATTTGGACGTAGTAGCTTTCCGCAAATATCTCGCGCGTGAACAATGGTCACGACGCTCTACCGAAAGGGGATTGTTCAACGGAAACTAATGTTCCGGTCGCCAATCTCAAATTCCGTACGTGTTCGATCTGCACCGATGCGCCGATAGCTGTTTAACACGAAATACACGCGCATATGCACGAGAAAATTTGATTGTGAAGTTGGCATGGCGTAGCATTTTCAAAAACTGTAAGTTTTAACACAAGTTTTATATTTACACCTGCAATAATTCTACAATTTCTCAATATCAATAGTTCAGACGATTTATCTACAGAACTTTCTGATTAAAAGTACATACGAGATGCTAACTTCGCTATATCACTTTGCATATGAATTCTAATTGTGTAAAAATATATTAATATCTACATGTTGATTTATTCACATTGAAAGAAAATAATTAAAATAAAACCTAGTGCGTTTGAATACTCCAGCAAGTAACTCTGAAAATCTCTCTTTTTTTTTCACAGCTTTTTTTCGTCTATCCGGAATTTATGTCGCTATTGTCGAACACATATGCACGCCTATCTCGCAAAGCCTTTTTTCAGGCCATCCAGCGGCCACATTTTCGCAGGTAATCTCTCGCAGATGGAATCCACTTGATAGAGAAAAACGTCGAGAGCTTTTTGAGATAAGTGCTTGCATTGTGCGTAAACTGTCGTCCGTTACAAAGAGGCAATTGTAACGGTTAATATTCCGCCAATTTTATGCTTGCATATTACAAAACCACTAAATTAAGAACTTTATAAAGCCGGAAAATTTAAAACCAAGTAACGAAGTTGAATGAGTTGAGTATCATGGGAAATGTTCAAAACATATATATGTAAATAACGCATATTAACAATTGCAAATGCATATTTTTATCTCAACGTTATGAAATTTTATTCTAACAAGATCAGAGAAACAGAAATTTTCTCGAAGATTTAATTAAAGTCTTGTAATCATACAAGTGTCAGAATAATGCAACTTTACCGATAAACACGAAAGTTCTCTCAAGTATATTTATTCGCCAATCGGCGAAAAATGCACCGACGATTCAGGCGCAACGCGGATTAATTAAAACTCAAATATTTTGCAATCGGCGCTAAACAATACGGTGAGGCGCAATTAATAATAACGCGTGAATTAAAATAGAAAATGCCGTGCGTGACGCGCGGCGTGCCGTTGTTGAATTTTAATTACCGCCGACACACACGTCCCCACGCCGCAGGAATAGAATTTATAACGTTCCGTTGTAGCGCGGACGATTTAATTTAACAGACTAACAATTTAACACCCGGCATTTTTCCCCGCTACTCGTGCGTTCATTAATCCATCCAGTCGCTCATAACGAAATAATTCTATTTCTCGCGCGATTGCTTCCGCGATATTTCGTGCATTAATTGCGGTCGAGGTATCATCAATATAGCGCCACTGATGTACACGGTTTGATATGCGTGCATAATCTCGCGTGCTATATATGTACTGCATTTCTAAATCCATTCTTCATATTTCATGCTTATAGCGTTAAATGTCTTATATCTGTCTGTAATGTGGTAGACTTTTATTACACACTTATTATTATTGTAATCGCGGATTGAATGTCTTATAGTTCTCTTTTTCTCTCTCTCTCTCTCTCTCTCTCTCTCTCTCTCTATGTATCTATCTCTGTTTGCAAATGTTTTTTAGAAAACGCAAACCGAGCGTCCAAAAAGTCGTATATCGCAATATCTGCGGTTTATATCTAGAATCGTGATTTATGATTCATAAACGTGACTTCGGTATGCACCGATTTCCATAGATACATGAGGCTGACAACGTTATTGCATCAAATGCGTACGTGTGGAATGTTGAAA